TCTCTCTCTCTCTCTCTCTCTCTCTCCTTCCTTTTGTCTCTCTCCCTTTTTCCTTTTTTTCTTTCATCTCTCTCTCTCACTTTTCTTTCTTTTTTTCTTTTTTTCTTTATTTATTTCTTCCTTTCTTTCTCTTTCTCTCTCTGTGTGAGTCTGTGTGTGTGTGTGTGTCAGTGGTGGGTTTCAAAAAAATTTCGAACCTACTCTGTGGGTGTGGCCTCCTTTGTGGGAGTGGCTTGACAGCCATTCTCTCTCTCTCTCTCTCTCTCTCTCTCTCCTTCCTTTTGTCTCTCTCCCTTTTTCCTTTTTTTCTTTCATCTCTCTCTCTCACTTTTCTTTCTTTTTTTCTTTTTTTCTTTATTTATTTCTTCCTTTCTTTCTCTTTCTCTGCGTGAGTCTGTCTGTCTGTCTGTCTCTCTGTCTCTGTGTGTGTGTGTGTCAGTGGTGGGTTTCAAAAATTTTTGGAACCTCTTCTGTAGGTGTGGCCTGCTTTCCGGGTCCACTGGTGGAACCTCTTCTAACCGGTTCGGTAGATTTGATGAACCGGTTCTACCGAACTGGTGCGAACTGGTAGGTACCCACCTCTGCTTCTCATCCAAGAAGCTTCTTTAGCTCTGATGGGATAGTGGTGAATGGAAGGATTTATATCCTTTTTGAAGTTTAGAGGTTGCCGAACTATAAAATCTGGCCTATGAATTATTGACTCTCAGCTTATTTCTCACATCTAGAGTAGAAGGATTACTTATTACTATTTAGAAAGTATACATGAGCGTGGTGATGTAGTAGTTAGAATGCAGTACTGCAGGCTGCTTCAGCTGCCTGCAGTTGGCAGTTCGATTCTCACTGACTCAAGGTTGACTCAGCCTTCCATCCTTCCGAGGTCGGTAAAATAAGGACTCAGACTGTTGGGGGCAATATGTTGACTCTGTAAACCGCTTAGAGAGGGTGGTAAAGCACTGTGAAGGGGTATATAAGTCTAAGTGCTATTTCTATATATGTATATACGTTATAATCTAAACATATGATTATCTTTTCTAGTAGCTTTCTTGCATTGCTGACCCATTTTTCGCTGGTATTTAACTAGTTTCAAGATCCTTTAGAAATATTATTGGCAAGAGATGATTTTCCATTTTAAACCTGTCAATTTTTTTTGTCTTTCTGAAGAACAATATTAGCAATTTTCTATAATATTATTATCAAAAACATAAAATATGGATAGCCTAATAAGAATTGTTCTCAAAAATCCATCTGTACTTATCTCTATCAATACCAGACTTCCCCTTCAGGTTGCCCTTTACAATTATATGATGAAACACATAACATCTTGTTGGATAATACCAGGGTAGTTGAGTAATTCACCTTTCTTTTGTTACCTATTAGCTTTCGTAACCTTTGCTGAATAGCTGCTATATTTTTTTTCTGAGCATAGCTGAAGAAGCCACCTTTCTTTTTAGTGTCTTTCATCAGCATCCATCCATCCATCCTTCCTTCCTTCCTCCCTCCCTCCAGCCAGCTAATTCTCCTTTCAGTTTCTCATATATGACCTTTATTTTTCATATCACTAAATCTTTTCACCATTTTAAAGTTATTCTTTAATCCATTAGGTAATAACTAGAGCTTTTCACTAGCCATAGAAGTTAATTGATTTGTCTGATTAGGGGTTCTTTGCAATTTTATACCATATATGTTCTCACTCAATACATTAAATGTAACTCAATAAAACTACTTTTCTATTATTTTGCAGCTATAATTTTCAGAAAATAAAAAGTTATAATTTTTCTATAGTTTAGCTTTCGGCTTAACAATCATTGTTGTAGGCCAATGGCAACAAGGATATCTTAATCTAATTTCTGATTCTAATCTCTAATTTCTAATTTAAAAAATCTTATGCAGAGATTTGTTCATCAGAAATAGACTTTTTATCAAACATTTATAATTACATATAAGGTTTTATTTTACACTAAAAACATTTCTAAAATAAGTATCTACCAAATATATCTTAATATAATACATGTTACTAAGCAAATTTATTTAAATAATTCAAAATGTATTTAAGTCTTTATAGGAGTGGTGTATAAGAAAACATAAAACAATCTCTAAAATTGTCACTTTTTCCGGGTGTTCTAATTTGTTTTTACAATAACTACATTTAATTCATATGTACCGGTATATTTAAATGAAGCATCAATAGTTTTTTTGTTTCAATTCCAAAATAGGCTGAAAGACAGGTTTTTTAAATCATGTTTAATTTATTCATTGCTTGGGCATATATACATATGTTAAAAATTTTTTTTAAAGAAAACACCATTGCTTGCACATCTACCGTAAAGATATTTGCCCTTCAGAATGAGTGCCCCATTGCTTTTATTCAAAGTATTCACTGGAATAGGATGAAATTGCTTAGCCCTCCCCTACTGAAAGATTAGTTGCTTTCCTTTTACAGTCCTTGTGAGTCTTCAGATTATCCTGCAGACAACTGGGAAACAGTTTACAACTATCAAAGCTGTATGACTAGTCAAAGTTATTTTACTGATTTAAATGATTTACTGTGTGTGGCTGCTGATCTCACAGCAGTGACTTTGGGCTGTGTACAAGGATTTAAAAAAAAGCAATAACCACAGCCAATAATTCATGATGCTTGAGGTAAGCAACATATCATAATCATAAAGAGCACATCATCATCAGAGCTTGCTTAATCTCCTGACCTAAGTGCCTGGCTCAACAGACGGATCTTCACTGAAAAGCTAATGATCCCAATCTCCAGGAGGAGGATTCTGTTTTGGAATTATAGAAGGAATTATAGGAAATTTCCCTAGATTATTTAAATGGCATAAAAGAGCTCTGTCAAGCCCCAAAGTCACCAAAACTTTCTATTTAGAAAGAATAGCATGAATTTTATTGCAATCATAATGAAATTTAAATTTGAACAATTATTTGATAATAAATTAGTCATGATTAATCAATGGCTGTAAGCATGTCTAAATCAGATCCCAGTATATTAAGTAAGTTTCCAATGTGATATTCATTCTCTTTTGATATGCTGTGCTTTATGCAGTACTTTGTACTGCAATTAGAAAGGAACAGTATTTAAGTGTCTTGCTGTTGAGGCCAAAAATATCCTTATGAAACATGATCATGGTCATTTCTTTCTAATGATTTAAATATTTAAAGAACATGTTTTGGTTGAATGATCATTTCATTCCATTCTTTTATTTAGGAAGTATGTAGTCTGTTATTTCAGAAATTGTGGTTTAGTATTTACTGCATATCTTTCCTATTTGCCTCACAGAGGCCTCTGCTCCCATTCTTAATCTTAGCTGTCTCCCAAACCTGCCCAAAAACGAATCAGAAAATTTCCTATATAGGTATTCTGTTATCATCACTGTATTACCAGATGGCCTCCTATGATTCTTCATAAAGTTCAGATATGATTCCAATCCCTCATAAATGCCTATCTCTATTGTAAAGGAAATAAATTAAAAGTTATACAGGATACAATTATCCTGATAACCTTTCATAGGGACAGCTTGCATTGAACTCTTTATTAACATTTATGAGGTAATCAAGATAAGAAAAAATTAAGCATTCATAATTTGTGCAATCACTCTTCAGTGCTGTTGCAAGGAATTCATTCTACTTGATTATAGAAATAGAATGTACAGAAATAAAAACTATAAACAAAAACAATAATTTGATCAACCTGGATTTATTTTTCAGTGGTTTGGTGATCTTGTAACTCCAGTATGGTGGGAAGATGTGTGGCTAAAAGAAGGCTTTGCTCACTATTTTGAATTTGTTGGAACTGACTATCTCTATCCAGGCTGGAATTTGGTAAGTTTATTAAGGTTTATAACATAAAATCTGTTAAAAAGATACTTTCCTTAATTCAAGCATATAACACACATATGTCTGCAGTAGCATATACTGTAATTATTTTCTAGGTTAATATACTGTATTTCAACCTGGTATTATATAGATGCTGAGATTTCAGCTTTCACTGTTTCTAGAGCATTGGTTATGCTTCCTATGAGTTCTGGGAAGCCAATAGAACCTCAATAGAATTGGAGAAACACAATTTGACTGAAGCTATTAGAGAAAAATATAGTAAAAAATTAAGATCTATTTCAAGCCAGTCATTGACTGATGGTTATGTCAGGGTTGTTTTCAGTATGTGTGTATGTTTATGTGTCTATCTGGATGTGTGTATGTGGAGTGCATTCCATCCATCCATCCATCCATCCATCCATCCATCCATCCATCCATCCATCCATTGTCTCTCTCTCTCTCTCTTTCCATGGATCAAATATCTGGTACTGTGGAAGTCTGATTTATGTCACATTATTTGAGAGCACTGGAAAAATTCCAAATGATAAGTCCCAAAGGTGCTTTTTCAAGAGGCAACTGGACTTTCTGAGTTTTCTTTGAAAAGAAAAGAGCTGAAGAAGCTTCTTGGATGAGAAGTGAAATGTCTTCAAAAAACCCCCCAGAAAGTCCAGTTACCTCTTGAAAAAGCATCTTTGGGACAACCCTGACCTGGATGACTGAGAATCTCCATAGACAAATCATTTATTGTAAAAGAAATGTCTTTTTTAAAAAATTATAATTTAGATTATTTTATAATTTATTATTAACTACTTCTACACTCAAGACCATTATTCCTATAAACAATAATGTAAAGCAAAGGACCTACTAATGTTCTATATTTCTGTGATTCTTAAGATTATTATCAATAAATAAAATAGATAGTTTAAACATCTCATGTATTCCCTTAAAAATACTTCCGTGTAGAGATTATTTTGTTTGAAGGATACTATTGTTTATTCTTCAAATGCAATTTTCTGCAGTTTGTCGTCCTGGTCTTTTTATATTTTTACAGATATGCTTTTATATATAAAAATACAAATTAAGCTGCCTCTATCATACCTGACTACTGTTTTACAAAAATACATTTATTTGAACTGCCACCCCCCCCCCCCCCCCCGGTGAAATTAAGTATTCTCCCGTCCCCCAACAGAAAAAGGCACTTCTTAAATTTTGGTCACATTCTTCTAAGTGTAATGCAATGGAATCTAATAGATTGTAATGATTGTATTACAGGAAAATATTACAGAATAATATGTGACCTTTTATAACTGACATATGGAAATTTTATCAATGTATATTTTCTAAGTGCCATCCCAGATTTTATTATTGGCACCCTATACAATAATAGTGATCATCTTAGTCAGTTTATGCCATCAACTTTCAATTTTAATTTTTAGATATTTATATTTTATTTGTTTTGAATCTTTTCCAATTTTTCATCTTGTATTCTTCTATCCCCAGGTGTTGCCACATCAATTAATCACACTTTCTTTTTTTCAACCACAGTTATATTTGGTGTTTTATGGGCCAAAGTTCTATCAGTTTGCATTCAGAAATCCTGCTCATTTTTTACTAATTTTTCAACTCTATATTCCTACATATTTTTCATTACTGGCACATATTAATTCCTATAGATGTTCTAATGAATCATTTTATCAACTACTACTACTACTATCAATTTATTAGACTTCAAATTCCAATGGACTCTGGGTAGTATGCAATAGTAGAAAAAATATAAAAACAGTTAAAACATTAAATGAGACTGATAACCCAGATTAAAATGACAAAATCAAAAAACAAAACAAGAGTTGTAGATAAAACAAACATCAACTGCAGGCTTGAGGCTAAAGGTTTTCAAAACTTTCTGGAACTCTGGAAAAGAGCCCCACTTTTATCTCTGGGGAATGCTGTTCCAGAGGGTGGGAGCTGCAATAGAGAAGCACATTTCTTTGGTCCCACAAGATGACAATATTTAATGGGGGGAAGATGGAACACACCTCTTCTGCTGGAACATAGTGGGGTGGGGGAAAACCCAACAAATTCTTTCAGACAAGTGGTCCTTCATCTATCCAGATTAATAGGGTTTGGCCATGGGATTGTTTTGCCCACTATGAGTGTGAGTGCAGTAAAAGTAATATATGATTAATAAAGCATTTCTTTCTTACACTGTTAAGAAAGATATTTAAGGAGTGACTAGTTCACATTTCAGAACTGAGCATGAAAAACAAAAGCAATAAAAAGTGAATGGAGTCTGAAATGTATCCAGTACAAAAGAAGGGTATGTTGAGAGGAAGTCAAAAATTGAGAAGTTTTAATTGGATGAAAATTAGCAGAAGTTCAAAGAAGGCAGGAAGATTAAAGAACAAAAGTCAGCGTATGAACTGGTTTGTACAAAGTTGGCCTTCAATTTCTTCTGATTACTACTACTACTACTTTGTGTTTTACATTATAAAATGGATAGCATCATCTATGTGTATTTTATGATTAGAAATAGTTTGCAATGAATATATGAATATATACATGTTAAAATTACTTCTGCCATGTTTTGAAGTTAGTAATTGTCTGTGCAAGATAAATGATATTCCAGAAAATTTACCTTTGCTTTATTGCAAGGGGCAGATTTGGATATAACAGTAAGTCAGTTTTACAATCAAGAATTTGCTTACCTTTACATGAGAATTGAGCCAAAGCGGAAATTTTACCTAATTATATGGTTCCCAAGCTCTCTGTTTTCATATCATCAGATTTAAAAAAAAAATGCTTTAAGGATTTTAAAGACTTTTCCCTTAAAGTTTTCATAATGAGGACTACACTGTATTATTCCTTAGGTCATTGATGGTGAACCTTTTCCTTACAGTGTGCCAAAATTGCGTGCACGTGCCCACTCAATCTCCCCACCCTCTTGCACATGCACGGGTGACTACCTGCACATGCCTATGCAACCCCATCCCAGGCTCCAGAGGCTTTCCTGAAGCCTGGGGAGGGTGGAAATGGGATCCCCTAGCCCGCTGGAGGCCCTCCGGAAGCTGGAAATAGATCATTTCTGAAATTTTGGTTGGCCTGCTGGGGCCGTTTTTTGCCCTCCCCAGGCTTCAGGAAAGCCTCTGGAGCCTGGGAAGGGTGAAAAATGGCCCCAATGGCCATTATGAAATGATCCATTTCTGGCTTCCGGAGGGCCTCCAGGGGGCCAGGGGGAGATCGTTTTTGCTTTCCCCAGGCTTCAGGAAAACCTCTGAAGGATGGGGAGGGTGAAAAATGGTCCCAATGGGCCAACTGGAAGTTCATTCCTGAACTTCCGGCCGAGCCATTGGGGCCATTTTTTTGGCCTCCCCAGCCTCTGGAGGCTTTCCTGAATCCTGGGGAGAGTGGAAAACGGCTTCCCCTGGAAGGGCAAAAAATCAGCTGGTGTGCCAGAGCTGATGGCTAGTGTGCCACCAAATATGGCTCCATGTGCCACCTGTGGCACATGTGCCAGAGGTTTACAATCATGGCCTTAGGTGAATCAAATTTGATTGAAGTTTTCCAAACACTTGTAAAGATCCTTTATTCCACATTAAGATTAACACAGCTTTAAATAGTTAATTTGTTTAAAGCTGATTCTTTCTATGGTCTTTCACATACCATAACTAACTGTTTTGCATTTTTCTTACCTAGTCTTGGCTCAACTGATTATTGATGTTTTCAGCATGCATTAGGAAACTAACACATTTTCCTCATGTATGATTGTCTGAAATTTGTAGACAGGTGAATCAAAATCGCAACAAACCTGTGATAACTTTTCCTTTGTGTTTGTTCAATGTACTAGTCCTGGCAATGTTAGCTTTAGATGCAAATTTAGACATATGTTATCCTTAATTACTAAGTGGAGAGTTCTAAACAGTTCTTAGTGTATACATAAACATGGCTGTATGCACTAATGAATACATTTTAGGAGATATGCATAATGTTTCAATAAACCACTGTTTTGCACTTCTAAATTGAAACTACTAGTGCTTCCAATAAATTGTGGTATTTTTTTCTCAATCTGAAAAATAATAAAGTTTTCCTTCTTTTCATCTTTTTAATCAGAGCATTTTGTTTTAGAGTTCTTTAAAATGCTTTAATAGAAGAATAGGATGTAGTCTTATCTAGATAGTATCCAAAGATCTTTTTTTTTTCTGCTTCCACTTAGAGGCAGGTGACATTATTTTTGTCCTTGAATGTCTGTGTTAGTAGAATGCAGTGGAGAAGTCTATGACAAAGGGAATTGCTAGTGAGTGATTTCCCTTTTTATCCATAAAATACCAAGTGTCAAACGCTTTAGTAAGCACTACCACACTCAGTGCTGATAAAGCATTTAAAAGGACTCAATGGCCTTCTCCCTTTCACTCATAAAAGTTTTGCTTTGTTAACAACTTTATTGGATGAGTCAAGACAGAATACATCAGTGATGACAGTTGCATTGAATTTTCCTGTTGCTCCCTTAATCTTCTTTTTTTAAGAAGGCTACTGTGACTTTCCCTTAACTGTGTTACTTTAAAAATATTCATAGTTTATGAAGATAATATATTTTAATAAAATGTGTCTAACATGCTTACGTCCAAAAATTATCAATATAGACTGACAGTGTATTCTTTTCTCAAGAAAAAGAAGGGGGGGAGTGAATCAAGAGGAAAGGTTTCAGCATAACAAGCACCTTGAAATATCCTGCCCTGATTTATCCAATAAAGTTGCTGGAAAAGCCAAACTTTTAATCAAAGATTAAGTTCTGAATTCCAGCAATTATGCAATCTCTTTAATCTTCCCTGGAATGAATTGAAGCAATCCATCACAGAATACTACTCCATTCTCTAGTTGATTCTATCATTTCTCCTGGAAAATTGAAACTATTTTAAAATTGAAATAACTGCATATAATCATTCTATTTTTATAAAGTCAGAGATGAGTTGATTTAATAAACACAAAAATAAATATTGAGCATCATTAAGGTATTATTTAGCTAACTACTTTAAAGTACCTCATCATAAACATCCCAGAACCCTAGAGGATGGTCTCATTTGTTGATCTCCTTCCTGAATAGGATTTTAAACAAAGATGAATAAAACTATAAGTAGATTTTACTTGCCTTAAACTATCTACTGAAATATTTATCATCTTCATTAAAATGCTATAACATTTTGTGAGACTTACAATTGAAATCATAAAAGTGCATGAAAGTTTGCAACTAATACTGAGGAGTGTCTCAACTGATTTCATTATTTCAATGAATTATTTTGGAAATATTTATTTTACTTCAACACAAATATCATGCTTTCAAGTAATATAGAGACTTTATTTTCAATCATTTAAAGGGAATATTCCTTTTGTAGCTATTCTTGCTTAAGGATCTAAAGAGCTTTTAATTAATAACATACAATAACATGAAAATTCTGGTACTATTTTTCTCTCATTTTCCAGTGATCATTCATATGAGTTTCTTGGAAAGAAATCCTTTCATGGCAGAATAGGCAGTAGGTAAATACATAATTTAGCCTAGTAGGCAGAACATGATATTTAGTAACCTGTTCTGAACATGTAATTCATATAGTGCTTCATTGTTCATAGAGGAAAAAAATCTTAGATTTCATCAAATCTAACCTCTATAAGTGCAACACCCACTAGAGTGTCTTTATCCAGCCAGTTGACCATCGAGCCTCTGATCAAAGACCTCCAGGGAAAAACTCACCACTTCATATGGTAACTGTTCTACTGGTTAAGAACCTATACAATCAGGAAGTCTTTCCTGACGTCTAATTTGACCCAAGGGTCCTTCTTTCTGCAGCAGTAGAGATTAACTATAAGAACTTTTATGTGTCATCATTTAAGAGACAGGTGGTCCTTGACTTACAACAGTTGGTTTAGTGACCATTGAAAGTTACAAGGGCACTGAAAAAAGTAGCTTGTGACTATTTTCACAGTTATGACCATTCCACATCCCCATGGTCCCATGATCAAAATTCAGACACTTGGCAAATGACTCATATAATGATGGTTGCAGTGTCCCAGGGTCATGTGATCCCTTTTGCAACCTTCTGGCAAGCAAAGTCAATGGGGAAGCCAGATTCACTTAACAACCATGTTACTAACTTAACAACTTCGGTGATTCACTTAACAACTGTGTCAAAAAAAGCTGTAAAATGGGGCAAAACAAATGTCTCATTTAACAAAATAAATTTTGGGCTCAATTGTGGTTGTAAGTCGAAGATTACCTATATTTGAAAACTGCTATCAAGTGTCCTCTCAGCTTTTTGACTATTCCTCAAAATAACTTCAACTGATAGTGAGAAAACACAACAGCTAATTGCTGATTGGGTAGTTAAAAAAAGGAAAAAACGGGGGGAGGCATCCTTAGGATTCTATGGGCTGAGACCACATGCAGAGATGGTAGATTGCTTATGTTTGATAGTATTAGACTTTGAAACAATTATTGTTTATATCTGCCTCAATATTATATTATTGTCATATTAATTATCTTAAGTGGTTGTTTTTATGTCAACCAATATTATAAACCCAGGAGAAGTGACTTCCCTTTCATCAAATGTGTATAATAAACAGGAACATAAGTTGAGTGAACTCTTCATTTGTACATTTTATTCATATATAGCTCCTTTAATTTGATTGCTAGTTATAAATGACCATCTCATGCCCACATAAATTTTAATTGCTGCTGTTTTACTTTCAAGCCTTTTACTTTCAAGCCTTAAATAGAATAGCTTGTATATAATTCTTGAAAATATGAGTGCATAATTGTTAACAAGTTATTAGCGTGTAGAGAACAAGTGATACCTATTTGCTTTATCTGAATTTATATCATTTAAAATGCAAAAACTACAAGACTAAAAACTACAAAAACTAAAATAATAACAGTTTGGTATAGAATACATGTAACTACCAAATAATATCTGCAAATTTCTGGGTTCATCAGAAGTTAGGTAGATAAAAATGTTGGATAGCAAATCTCAGTATATCATTATTGTATGGGCTCCATGAGTTAGTTTTTCAAATAGAACTAATGTGGCTTACTGTCTTGTTCTGCCATGAAACTTTAATATATGGCTTCAATTTTCATTCAGGATACTTCTAAACCAAGAACATATTACTCTACAGTATATTGATATTATCACCCCAGGATAGGTAGTAAGAATGAAACTTCCCCTTTAAGATGCCAAAATGTGAGTTTTGTGTTGATCATTCATTAGTGTCTTCTCCTAGCACATTTCTTCCTTTCTTTTTATTAAAATCCAATTACTTCGAATAATTGACAGCTATGTTAAGTTCATAACTAAGCTGGCTTCTTTCTGCTTTCCCCAAGAAATAAACACTTTAATGTAGAACACTTTCTTTTGCATGTAATCTTCTCTGCTTCTTTATCTTTATTTTTTTTACTGTTCTCCAGTATTCTCCAGTATTAATGGTGGATAAGCAGCAGAAGGTTCCTGCATGACTATTAGTTCTTGAATATTTTGTTTCTTGTGACAAAATTTGACTACATTTATGAAAGGGAGAAAGTGCTGATGTCAGATTCTTTTACCAAAAAATGTCTTCATAATCTAACCATACTAAAATGCTTTATTCTTATCATTACGTCTGATGAATTGTTTAACAAGCTTGGATTGGATATGGAAGTGCAGGCTTTAGATCAGGAGTGTGAAACTCAAGGCCAGCAGGCTGGATCCGACCTGTGGGATGCTTAGATACAGTCCATGGGACTGCCCTGGAAATAGGAAAGGACCGGCCCATGGCCCCCCCATACCTTGTTTTCACCCTCCATGGCCTCCTGCAGCAAACTGCTGGCCATTTTCGGGTCCATTTTTCAGCCCATTTTCAGGCTATATTTGGGCCCATTTTCGGCCGGCAGAGTGGTGCAGGAGGAAAATGGGGCATGGGGGGTGTTGCACACAACCTATTTTAGCCACCAGAGGCACCATGGGCTGGATTTAAGCACCCCACGGGCCGCGGGCCTTGAGTTTGACGCCTCTACATTACACCATTATCCAGCCTATGTTTGAAAATTTCCAGTAAATGGAAACCATAACATAATAGCAAGTTTGAACCTTTCACCTTCAGTAGACTTTTAGGAGTTCTATTGTTTGGAAACAACAAGACATTCATAATTAAATAGCCTATTTATATCTGTTTTGCCTGTGCTAATTTTCAATTTAAAATCTTAATTAATAGCCATTGTTATATAATTTTGGAATGAAGATAAAGTAACATGTTTCACCATCAAGAAACTTCTCTATGTCCATGGAACTGTCCCAATAACTGACCATAACTCAAAGGCCTCTTTACCTTAACATGATGGGAAAGGTAATTTTTATCTAAAATCTGAATTTCCAAATGGATCACAAATAGAACAGCATTTTATATTGCAGAGAACAATTTGCATCAGCACATAGATAAATAATACTTTGTATGTAATGTACAAAGTCATGAAATAGTTAACTATTATAATATGTATGTATGTATGTATGTATGTATGTATGTATGTATGTATGTATGTAAAACATGAAGTTCTTAGAATATTTAGGTATACATCAATTCAAAAGTACAGGCAATATAGGTAAATATAATCTAAAAGTGATTAATAAAATATCCCTTAATTTTTTTCTAAATAAGAGTACTTCGTTTGAAGCCATGAAGTTATTGGTATTCATTTTTCTGATTATGATAATGTACAATTTAATGGGGAAAAAATCTCATAAATCCAATGGATATCTCTGTAAAATTAACTTGTAAAAAGGACTGTATAAATAATGGTCTTTAATTCCACTCTCGATCCCACTGCAAATGTATGAGTATATGAGCATGTTTTGTTGCATTTCAGGAGAAGCAGAGGTTTCTGACTGATGTCTTACATGAAGTCATGTTACTTGATGGCCTGACAAGTTCACATCCAGTGTCACAAGACGTGCAGCAGGCCACAGATATTGATCGAGTCTTTGACTGGATCGCCTATAAAAAGGTGGGAACAGAAGAAAGGACACAAGTTGTATATTTATGGGATTTTTCTGGCATTTATGTTAATGTTTCTTTACCTTCATGTTCTGCTGTCATTTAATTATTTCCTCTTTCTCTTCTATGTTCTACTAACACCCCATTCTACTTTGATCAGAATTGCAGTGAAAGAAATTCCAGGCAGAGATTACAGAAAGTTTCTTCTGAGGCTCTTGAAAATAACATTATATTACAAAGCAATTCAGTTGAAAATAGTCATGAATACTGAAATGACCTGAATAAAATAAATCATTCCAGGTTTAATTAGAGACCCATTTGCTCTTAGTATTCAGATTAATGTGCATTTGTATCTACAGTTAGTTATGAGTGCAACATACTTTACAGTAATTATAGCTAGTCAAATTAAGAATTGTCATTCCTAACCGAAAGCTCATGCACAATCATTTTAACTTACCACTTTCTGAGCCCTATGAAAACAATCATTTCTACCTCAAGGTCAGAAACTTTCTATTCTTTATACCTTATTTAAAATCTTTCAACCAATTAATAAGTATAGTTTTATTTAGGAAAAATATCCCCACTTTGGCTTTATCAGAAACCATTCAAAAGCACCCAGACTGCAAAAGTGATAAAAGTGATAGGTGACTACAAACATGTATTAGTTTAGTTTTAGTTTAGTTTATTGGGTTTGTATGCCGCCCACTCCCGGAGAACTCCGGGCGGCTTACAATAAAAAGGGAAGGGGGATAAATAAGACAAAACAACAATTTAAAATACAATACCACCCACAATTAAAGTGGGGCTGTATTCTTCAACAGCCCCAGGCCTGCTGGAGCAGCCAAGACTTAGTAGCTTTACGGAAGGCCGGGACGGTAGTAAGGATCTGGATCTCAACGGGGAAGTCGTTCCAGAGGGCCGGAGCTGCAACAGAGAAGGCCCTCCCCCGGGGGGTCGCCAGCCGGCATTGGCTGGCGGATGGAATCCGGAGAAGGCCAAGTCTGTGTGATCGAATCGGTTTTTGGGA